ATGCTCCAAAGCAAGACCCCTTAACACACTTAAGTTTCCAGTCCTTTAAGCTCACATTTCCTAGGCATTTCTATAGATGCTTATGGATGGATGTCAACCCACTTTAGCAACTAAATTGAATGTGAGAAATATTTGGTGGGAACTCAATGCCATTTTCAACTGAGATTCAGGGGAAAAGATGCTGGTTTCCAGGCAAGATATTAGTATTGACTTATAACAGGGAATGTAATGATTCCTTGGATGAGCAGTATTCAGCTTCAACGCTGATACTTACTTTTTCCATCTGAAGCAGACAGAAATCAGTGAGATCCTGTGGATCATGCAGAGACTGATTCTCCTTATGCTTCTCTATCTCCTCCTTTGCATATGAAAGCACCATCTCCATGCAGGACAAGGCCTTCTTGTGGGGCCCTGGGAGATGTTTCATGAGCCATGGGAGAATTTCACAAAGCTAAATGAAAGATAGCAGAAATGCTGCCATTACCATGAGAAAGCTTGGTCACACCGTTTGTGCTTTGGATTAGCACTTTAAAAAACATGATCTGCAGTCTTCTTCAGGGCTAGCATATTAGTTTCTCACTAAGAAGAAGGAAGGTGTCTATAGCTTCTCTGGAATCCCACAATGATTGGATTCAGTGAATTATACCTAGCTGAAAATGTGAAAGAAATCTATGGCTCAAAATATTTTCCCAGCTCCCAGGCATCATTCCAAAACTGGGCACAATCAGAGGACCCCTCCTGGAACAAGTTAGTGCCCTTTTGTGGTAGGTGGGGGTGGGTGGAAATAGGGTGTGGGGGGAATTCAAGTATGTTTCATGAGTACTTTTTTTTTTTTTTTTTACAGATTAGGAATGGAGGTAGAAATGTAGAGAACTGAACTTAAATTTGAGGAAAGGGTTTAGTTGATCATCCAGAAGGGGGCTGCTTTCCTCAGCAATAGCGATAGTGCTTGAGTTGCTGGTCTCTCTTTCATTAAAAAAATATTCCAGCCAAGTGGTGGCTGCAGGGGCCTCACCATGGACGCCATCATGATTGCCACTGCTAGGTGGGTACAGAGTAGACACATTTAGTTTTCCATGATGGCAACAAAACTATGTAATTCCCTTCTTGAGAAGATTATTTTGTTCACCTCTGTTCCCTTTGGTGGACTCTAGATGACCTGTTCTCAAGGTCATTGTTCCATTTTTTGTCCCATCTTCCCTCCAAAGAGTCTCCTGTGGTGGACAAAGTCTTCTTTTGTTGTTTTTTTATGGGGGGTTTTGCGCGTGTTTTTTATCTCAGTGATAATCATGAGCAATGGATCAGGCTGTGAGATAGTAAGTGGCCCTTATCTCAGATCAATTTAAACCTGATCTCACTTCTCCAACCCTCTATCAGAATATTGATTATTAAGGCCCTTGGGAGACCTGTTTGGCAGGAATGGAAATGACTACTCACAGCATAACCAAAGCTACTTAGAAATTGTAGGATAAATTCTATGGCTTCTATCAGCTTCTGGAACCATTCATCTTCAAAAGCAAACCGGTGCCCAAAAGCCACAGCACATATCACGTTGGAGACTGAAGTAGCGATGGGCATGGAGGGGTCAAGTGGCTGTCCTGCAAAATAAAGTTATACTAATGTTAGCTCATGTTAGCTCATCCCCTTCATTCCCACTTCATCCCCACTAATGTTAGCTCATCCCCTTCATGGATCACTGCCTTGCCATGGCGAAGGGGCTTGAATAACTCAGAGACGCTATGAGCTATGCCGTGCAGGGCCACCCAAGATGGACAGGTCATAGTGGAGAGTTTTGACCAAAACATGATCCACCTGGAGCAGGAACCGGCAAGTCACTCCAGTATCCCTGCTAGGAAAACTCCATGGACAAAGACAACAGGCATATAAAAGTTATGACGCTGGAAGATGATCCCCTCAGGTCGGAAGGCGTCCAACATGCTACTGAGGAAGAGCGGAGGACAAGTACAAGTAGATTCAGAGCTGATGAAGCGGCTGGGCCAAAGCCGAAAGGACGCTCAGTTGCGGATATGCCTGGAAGCGAAAGGAAACTCCAATGCTGTAAAGAAAAATATTGCATAGGAACCTGGAATGTAAGAACCATGAACCTGGGTAAGTTGGATGTGGTCAAAAATGAGATGGCAAGAATAAATATTGACATCCTGGGCATCAGTGAACTAAAATGGACAGGAATGGGAGAATTCAGTTCGGATGACCATCACATCTTTTATGGGTATGTCTGTAGCAAAAGGAAGAACAAAGAAACAGTGGGGTCACTCAGAGGAGAAGATGGTGAAATGCAAACAGGGGACACAGAAAGGACTGAACTCCTCAATGCCTTCTTTGACTCAATCTTCTCCGATAAAGAAAACAATGCCCGACCTGAAGAATGCCCGACCTGGAGAACAGGCGAAGTCCCGGCAGACTGGAGGAGGGCAAATGTTGTCCCTATTTTCAAAAAGGGGGAAAGAGAGGACCCAAATAATTATCGCCCAGTCAGTCTGACATCAATACCAGGGAAGATTCTGGAGCAGATCATTAAGCAAACAGTCTGTGAGCACCTAGAAAGGAATGCTGTGATCACCAATAGTCAGCATGGATTTCTAAAAAATAAGTCATGTCAGACTAACCTGATCTCATTTTTTGACAGAATTACAAGCCTGGTAGATGAAGGAAACGCAGTGGATGTAGCCTACCTTGATTTCAGCAAGGCATTCGACAAGGTGCCCCATGATATTCTTGTAAAGAAGCTGGTAAAATGCGGTCTTGACTATGCTACCACTCAGTGGATTTGTAACTGGCTGACTGACTGAACCCAAAGGGTGCTCATCCATGGTTCCTCTTCATCCTGGAGAAGGGTGACTAGTGGGGTGCCACAGGGTTCTGTCTTGGGCCCGGTCTTATTCAACATCTTTATCAACGACTTGGATGATGGACTCAAGGGCATCCTGATCAAATTTGCAGATGACACCAAACTGGGAGGGGTGGCTAACACCCCAGAGGACAGGATCACACTTCAAAACGACCTTGACAGATTAGAGAACTGGGCCAAAACAAACAAGATGAACTTTAACAGGGAGAAATGTAAAGTATTGCACTTGGGCAAAAAAAATGAGAGGCACAAATACAAGATGGATGACACCTGGCTTGAGAGCAGTACATGTGAAAAGGATCTAGGAGTCTTGGTTGACCACAAACTTGACATGAGCCAACAGTGTGACGCGGCAGCTAAAAAAGCCAATGCAATTCTGGGCTACATCAATAGGAGTATAGCATCTAGATCAAGGGAAGTAATAGTGCCACTGTATTCTGCTCTGGTCAGACCTCACCTGGAGTACTGTGTCCAGTTCTGGGCACCACAGTTCAATAAGGACCCTGACAAACTGGAACGTGTCCAGAGGAGGGCAACCAAAATGGTCAAAGGCCTGGAAACGATGCTTTATGAGGAACGGCTAAGGGAGCTGGGCATGTTTAGCCTGGAGAAGAGGAGGTTAAGGGGTGATATGATAGCCATGTTCAAATATATAAAAGGATGTCACATAGAGGAGGGAGAAAGGTTGTTTTCTGCTGCTCCAGAGAAGCGGACACGGAGCAATGGATCCAAACTACAAGAAAGAAGATTCCACCTAAACATTAGGAAGAACTTCCTGACAGTAAGAGCTGTTCGACAGTGGAATTTGCTGGCAAGGAGTGTGGTGGAGTCTCCTTCTTTGGAGGTCTTTAAGCAGAGGCTTGACAACCATATGTCAGGAGTGCTCTGATGGTGTTTCCTGCTTGGCAGGGGGTTGGACTCGATGGCCCTTGTGGTCTCTTCCAACTCTATGATTCTATGATTCTATGATTCTAAGTTCCAAGTTGTTTGGGAACTAAGCTGTTCGAAAACCGAGGTAGCAGTGTATCTTTTTTTCTGAATCTCAGTTGAAAATCGCATTGAGTTCCCTCCAAATATTTCTCATAGCCAATTTAGTTGCTCAAGTGGGTTGACATCCATCCATAAGCAAATATAGAAATGTCTAGGAAATGTGAGTGTAAAGGAGTGGAAACTTAAGTGTATTATGGGGTCTTGCTTTGGAGCATTTTTTGGATTGATGTTTATCTGACATTCAAATGTGGACTGAGAAAACAGAAAATCCAAAACAAAATATTCTTAAACTAAACTGAGGATGCCTCCATGAAGTTTTAAATTTATTTTTCTGTCAAACGAGTGTGTTGGTAATAGTAGCCTGTTAGTTTTTGGTGAGTTTACCAGAAGTCTGGTAGGGACTTCTGACAGGAGCTTTACAAGATTGTTTTTGATAGCGAAGCCTACCTTAAGTCAGAATGACTGAATCTGTATCCACTGCCCATGTGCTGTTTCATGACTAAGGGCTTCCAGATTTCACAATCCTGCCCCTGTTACCATATGCTGATCACCATGGAACTTTGGGTGTTTGGGTTTGGGATGGGTTTTTTGGAAGACGCCTGTACGTGAATTTGTTTCATGTCTGTAGATCAGTGCACACTGACCAATGAACAGTCTTCGCAGTAAGGCTCTGTTCTGATGGCATGAGTTGTCATGGCAACCGGTAAATTCTTATCTGCTGCAGCTTTCATCCACCTTTACAGCCGTTGTAACATACCGCTTGTTATCACCCACCTGTTCTGCCGTTGATGACTTCTTGGGTCATTCTTTGTCTAGCTCCTCCCCTTTGACCTTACCGCCTTGGGTGACCCTGCTGGGAGTACGAGATTCCCAATGGCTTCACTCACAAGGGTCATAGGGCTGTGGAAGGCCACTCACCACGAAAAGGTGATGATCCAGCGAGTGAGGGCAGCAACAGTAAGGGTGGTGGTGGCAGCAGCTTCCCATTTCACCTTAGGCACTATAAGAGGACACCCCACCTCTCATGAAGCACGTGTGGCCACCCTGGTATGGTAATAAGTGGGGGAAGGAAGATAAAGTGCTGAAGGACAGAATGTAATGCATGTAAATGACATGTCACTTTCCCCATTTTCAACACCAGAGCAGGAATGACCCAGAGTCCACCTGTGATGAAGAAAACTTGGCCCAGTGCATTTTTGACCTCTTTGTAGGAGGGTCGGACACAACTACGTGTTCTCTGAAATGGGCACTTCTCCTCCTGGCAAGTCATCCAGATATCCAAGGTGAGAGAGGAGAGCCAGGGCTTCTCTTGACCACTAGGGTGGAGCATAGTTCTTTAAAGGTTTCATAAGGAAGCCTACAATAGTAGGGTTGGAAGGGACCCCAAGGGTCTTCTAATACAACCCCCTGCAATGCAGGAATCAACACACCCCCTTCTCCCCTCCAGTTTGATACCATACCACATCCTGTTTTGTTATGCAAATGTGCTAGCAGTTTCTTTATGCAGCAAATGTACAAGAATGCCCCTGCTGTGAGATAAGTGACTGAGCCTCATTCCTGCCTCTCCGTGCTCCATTACATGAGGGATGCGGGTGGCACTGTGGTCTAAAGCACTGAGCCTCTAGGGATTGCTGATTAGAAGGTTGGCAGTTTGAATCCATAAGACAGGTGAGCTCCTGTTGCTCTGTCCCAACTTCTGCCAACGTAGCAGTTCAAAAGCATGCCAGTGTAATGGTAGTGCATGTGATGGGAAGCATGGTAGTGCTGCTGTGGGAAGGTAATCAGCATTTCTGTGTGCTCTGGCACTCATCATGGCGTCCAGTTGTGCCAGAAGTGGTTTAGTCATGCTGGCCACATGACCCGGAATGCTGTCTGTGGATAAACGCCAGCTCCCTAAGCCTGAAAGCGAGATGAGCGAAGCACCCCATAGTCTCCTTTGATTGGACTTAACCATCTAGGAGTCCTTTACCTTTACATGAGTGACGCTAGACAAAGACCAGGTGAGGAAATGAGTATTAGTGAAACTAAGTAGGAAATATTGAGGGCTGGGGGTGGATAATGAATATATGACAGCCTTTGATCCCAGCCCTTCAGCAAATCCAGCCAGCTCTGGTAACCAGAAACAACTGTGATGAGCTTCACTTTCAGCCTTTTCACACCTGGGATCTAGAGTGGGGAAGAACCATGTACACAGACGAGCTCTTTGGAGGACCAGGTGACCTAAAAATGCAATAAACTGGGACTCTTTCACAGAGATTTATGGAATATGTTCAAGGGAATTAAATGTCCATCTGAAATAAAATGCAGTATTCACAATAAAACTTCTGTTTCCATCATTCTCTTCAGATAAAATGCACAAGGAGATAGAAGATGTCATAGGTTCTGCTCACTCAATCTGCTATCAAGATAAGAAGAAACTGCCCTACACCAATGCTGTGATTCATGAAATGCAGCGCTTTAAATACATCAGTTTTTTGGGGTTACCTAGGCAATGTACAAAGGATTTCAAGCTGCGTGGTTTTCTCATTCCCAAGGTATAACAGTGTGATATAGCTGCACTCCTGTAGCCCAAGAGCAAAGAGCAGCAGAAGGTTTCATATTGAGAGATGCAGCCAGCCGTACAGGAACTTCCTGTCTGGTCAGAAATCTGAAGGGCAAGAGCAGGAGCTCCATCTGCAGACATGTTTCACCATCAGCAAGTGCCATTCCATGGGGCAATTGTGGCAGGGGAGGAGCCTGAAGTATCCAGAGGTCTCACCTGGGTTGTGAGCTTTCATTTTAAAAGAGGTGGCGGAAAGCCCTCTTGTGTTTCCTGTACATAATAATAATAATAATAATAATAATAATAATAATAATAATAATAATTCAGATCAGTCTCTGCAATGATTAGTCTTGGGATAGTGTGGGACAATTAAAAAAAGTATTGATGTGAATGCATTCCAAGTCACTTGTTTCTTATTTGCAGGGGACTATTATTGTTCCCGATCTACGCTCTGTTCTTCTTGATCCAACACGATGGGAGACACCTGCAGAGTTCAACCCAAATCATTTTTTGGACAAGGATGGACAATTCGTGAACAGAGAAGAATATCTGCCATTTGGTGCAGGTAAACGCAGAAGACCAAGCTATGTTGTGATCTGTAGATGTGCTTACTGGTTTGCTTCCAGGAAATGACATCAGCAGCAGCACAGGAGGGAGTGGGCACTGCTGGTCAGCAGAATGGGGCAATGCACTGGCAAGTTAAGGGGATCTGTAGGTTGGTGGCTTGGGACCCACACATGCACATACACTTATGTGGTCTCCATCTGCACCTCCCAACATTTGCCACCCCTGCCCTGTCCCTGAGGGAGGCATCACTGCCAGCACCAGGATAGTGCTGTTCCCTGTCACACATCACCACTGCAAGCCACCCAACTTCTCTTCAGGCAGCAATGCTAGTTCCTACCAAGGTGAAGTAAACCTGGCAGGAGAGTTTGCTCCATGGTCTTAACCCCTTTCTGCATTGCTAATTTGGGCAGTTGACCAAAGTTTTCCTTTCATTTTTTAAAATCAAGTTTTATTAAAAAGCTTTATACATAAGAAACAATAAAAATCATACTAATCTAAAAGGGAAAATAGAAAAAAGATTAGGAAAGAAAAAATAGAAAAGAAATAAAGGAAATTACAGAGTCCTCTATCAAAATAAAATCTTCACCCTTATTCTGCACACAGAAAAGTGAGCCCTCCCAGTTCTCACTGGGAGCTAGACCCTCTTACACTGGCTTCTAGCCCTGGGAGATGCTCTCTGCCCTGCCCCTCCCACAGGACCCTTCTTCTTCAATCCATCCTCTTCCTGAATGTATCTTCCTTGATATGAGATTGGGAATTTCAAATTACAGAACAAAACATAAGTATAACAAGAAGAAAGGAAGGTTAGCACTGACCAGGCTAGAAAGTGACAGCAGCCTTGATGTTTTCCCTATCCTAACTATGTCTATTTTGCCAAAGTGTTATGCAGAATGTTTATAGCTACAAAGCAATGCACATGGGAGAGTAAATTACTGCTCACTTACTGCCTTCTTCATATCTCCTCTTCAGGGGCTCGCATTTGTTTGGGAATGCAGATGGCAAAGATCGAAATATTCATCTTCCTGACCAGCCTGCTGAGGGCATTCAGTTTTCAGCTGCCAGAAGGAGTCAAAGAGCTCAATCAAGAGGCTATAATAGGGATTATAGCACATCCCCATCCATATAAACTCTGTGCTGTTCCTCGTTGCAACACATAAAAAAATAGAAAAATATTAGGGGCTGCACCCCTGCTTCCTGCACTCGGTGACCCCTTGGCCACTCCTGACACATGAACCCCCTAGCATTTCCCCTTCTCTTCCCATCTTATCCCATGCAGCTACTGAGGTCTCTTTTCACCTTCGCAGCTCCATTTATTATTATTATTATTATTATTATTATTATTATTATTATTATTATTATTTATATCCTGCCCTCCCCAGCGGAAGCCGGGCTCAGGGCGGCTAACAACAATAAAACAGTACAACAGTACAACACAACACTCTAAAATCATTCATTATAAAATTAATTCAAAGCAAACCACTGGCAACCATTGGGCCAGAGCTCCACAAAGATTGCCGAAGGAGGGAGTCAGGCTGTGCCCTGGCCAAAGGCCTGGTGGAACAACTTTGTCTTGCAGGCCCTGCGGAAAGATGTCAAGTCCCGCAGGGCCCTAGTCTCTTGTGACAGAGCGTTCCACCAGATCGGAGCCACAGCCGAAAAAGCCCTGGCTCTAGTTGAGGCCAGCCTAACCTCTCTGTGGCCTGGGAACTTCAAGATGTTTTTATTTGAAGACCGGAAGTTTCTCTGTGGGACATACCAGGGGAGGCGGTCCCGTAGGTACGAGGGTCCTAGGCCGTATAGGGCTTTGAAGGTTAAAACCAGCACCTTAAACCCAATCCTGTACTCCACCAGGAGCCAGTGCAGCTGGTATAGCACCGGGTGAATGTGATCTCGCAGCGAGGACCCCGTAAGGAGTCTCGCTGCAGCATTCTGCACCCGCTGGAGTTTCTGGGTCAGTCTCAAGGGCAGCCCCACGTAGAGCGAGTTACAATAATCCAGTCTGGAGGTGACCGTCGTGTGGATCACAGTGGCTAGGTCAGGGTGAAAGAGGTAAGGAGCCAACTGCTTAGCTTGGCGGAGATGGAAAAATGCCGCCTTTGTTATAGCTGCAATCTGCACCTCCATGGAAAGGGAGGTGTCGAAGATTACACCCAAACTCTTAACCTACGGTGTTGGCACTAATTGCACCCCCGCAGGAGATGGGACTTGCCCCCAATCCCATATCGTTCCGTCCCAGCCACAGGATCTCTGTCTTCGAAGGATTTAGCTTCAACTGGCTCCCACGTAACCATCCAGCCACAGCTTCCAAACATCTGGTCAGTGTGTCTGGGGCTGAGTCAGGATGGCCATCCATCAACAGATAGAGTTGGGTGTCATCAGCATACTGATGGCAACCCAGCCCAAAACTCTGGACAAGCTGGGCGAGGGGGCGCATAAAGATGTTGAAAAGCATCAGGGAAAGTATCGCACCCTGAGGTACTCCACACACCAAGGAGTGGCGCGATGACAATTCCCCCCCAAGCGCCACCCTCTGTCCCCTACCAGAGAGAAACGAGCGCAGCCATTGAAGGACTGTGCCCTGGATCCCCATGTCGCCAAGGCGGATGTCCAGGAGTTCGTGATCGACCATGTCGAAAGCTGCTGACAGATCTAGAAGAATCAGCAGCCCTGACCCGCCTCGATCCAGCTGTCTACGAAGATCATCTGTTAGGGCAACCAGAGCCGTCTCGGTCCCATGACCAGTGCGGAAGCAGGACTGGAATGGATCCAGAGCCGATGTTTCATCCAGAAACCCACCAAGCTGTTCAGCAACTGCTCTCTCAATCACCTTACCCAGGAACGGAAGATTCGAAACCGGGCAGTAATTGGTTAGATATAAGCGATCGAATGCTGTTTTCTTTAAGAGCGGGCGCACCACTGCCTCCTTCATTTCCCCTGGGAATGTCCCGGTGCCAAGGGACAAATTGATGATATCCCCTAGGAGGGCCCGCACCTCATCTGGACATGCTCTAATCAGCCAAGACGGGTACGGATCGAGAGGACAGGTGGTGGGCTTTCCAGCTCAGAGGAGTCTGTCCACATCAGCTGGGGATATCCGGTCGAAGTGGTCCAATACTGGACCCGAGGACAGTCGAGGGGCCTCCAGTTCCTTTATTGTATCCAAATTGGCAGGGAGGCCATGGCGGAGCAACAAGACCTTCTCCGCAAAAAAGCTCGCAAATGCCTCACAGCTGTGTGTCAAATTGTTATTTAAATTTGGCTGTCCCTCAAGGGATATTAAAGACCTAATTATACTAAATAATTGCGCCGGGCGAGAGCTAGCGGATGCAATGGAGGCCGAGAAGTAAGACTTCTTAGCAGCCTTCACCGGCATCTCATAGGTTTTCATAAAAGCCCTATAAGATGTTCTTGAGGCTCCGTCACAGGCACCTCGCCATACTCACTCTAGCAGTCTGAGGTCCCACTTCATTTTCCGGAGCTCCTCGGTAAACCAGGGAGCCCGGTTTCTGCGGGGTCGCAGAGGGTGCTTAGGTGCGATCTCATAGAATCATAGAGTTGGAATAGACCACAAGGGCCATCGAGTCCAACCCCCTGCCAAGCAGGAAACACCATCAGAGCACTCCTGACATATGGTTGTCAAGCCTCTGCTTAAAGACCTCCAAAGAAGGAGACTCCACCACACTCCTTGGCAGCAAATTCCACTGTCGAACAGCTCTTACTGTCAGGAAGTTCTTCCTAATGTTTAGGTGGAATCTTCTTTCTTGTAGTTTGGATCCATTGCTCCGTGTCCACTTCTCTGGAGCAGCAGAAAACAACCTTTCTCCCTCCTCTATATGACATCCTTTTATATATTTGAACATGGCTATCATATCACCCCTTAACCTCCTCTTCTCCAGGCTAAACATTCCCAGCTTCCTTAGCCGTTCCTCATAAGGCATCGTTCTCAAATCGGCTCGCCACCTAATCAGGGTGGGGGTAGAAAGTCAATCCTGGCTTTCAGAGCGTAGTGATCAGACCATGGCACCTTCATCGAAGGACACATGATCACATCTATACCTACGCCAAAGATCAAATCCAGCGTGTGGCCTGCTTGATGTGTGGGGCCCGAAACAAACTGGGAGAGCCCTAGTGTCGCCATGGAAGACACCAGGTCCAGAGCCTGTGAGGAGGGAGTGGTATCAGCATGGATGTTGAAGTCCCCCAATGTCCAGCCGGCCACCGCCTCCAGTAGGCCTGACAGGGTGGCTGCTGGTGCGCTAGGTGGCGGGTACACCAGACAGACAGCCAAGATCTCCTCGGAGCCTCACACTAGGCCAACACATTCAATGCCGGGGATCGATGGCAATGGTAGAGCACTGAAAGGACAATCTTCCCAGATTAATAATGCCACCCCTCCCCCACGGAGGGGTGGAGGACGGAGAAACCCGGGGGCGCCATCTCTCGTAAGGTAATTGTTTCCCCTTTGTGCACCCAGGTCTCCGATACACAAGCCAGGTCGACCACCTGCGAGGTAAAGAAATCTCGCAGAGTGGCGGTTTTGTTGCCTATAGACCTGGCATAGCACAGCACCAGTGACGGAGGTGAGTAATCATTGCTCACCCTACCCTCGTCCCTCGGGATGAGGTGCAGATTGGAAGGGGTACGAGTATATCCATATCTCGATCCCCTTCGCCTATAAGATCTACCTTTGAGACAGGGCTTGGCATTTCTTTCTCTCTTTTACTTTTTTGTTTGTTTGTTTAGTTAGTGTTGCTGAAAAGTTTCAATAAAAAAGTATGGAAAACCAAACAAACCCAATTCAGCCAATTTTTCCACAATGTTTTTAAGGATATAATGTGTGGTGTCAACCAGTTACTACTTCTACTGGTCCAACTAGACAGGTTTGGGATTTTTACTGAGGGTGAATTCTGCACCATATTTTTGACAAGATGCAATGCATCAATGGTGGATATATTCTGCTTTGTTAATTCTTCTTCAACGGTGCCTGAACACTACTGCCTTATTTCTGTCTGTGGAAACTATCTACATTGCAACGAAAGTGGGACAAAAATAAGTTTGTGCATTTGTAGTTTTCAGCAGAAAGTTAAAGGATGTGACAGAATGGAAATGAAACTGTATGATCACCTCAAAATCTTTGCAGGCATAAATAGTATTGACAATGGAGTTGGATATAACCACCTTGAAAGTATTATGAGCACAAATCATTATGAATGTGCAATTAAAAAACGTTTTCTTGAGGAGCCCTTAGCACCAGTAATAAACTGTGGAGTTAGTGATGGGAATTATTGGGCAAGCCAGCCCCACAGTAACTCACATTGTGTCTTTCAGAGTGAATGTCCCTGTTCTTTGGAACTGCATTCAGAATATGACTCTGTACTTTCCAAAAAAGAGGAAGACATTTTTCCCCCAACAAGCTTTCCTAGTCGTGTACAAAGGTCACTTCAATAGGTGTATACCTTGTATTGTTTTAACCCATATTTAGTTGTTGTTGATTTTTGTACTGTTTTAAAATCTTTTATAATAAATAATAATAATAATTTTTTATTTATATCCCACCCTTCCCAGTTCAGAAAACTGGGCTCAGGGTGGCTAACAACATGGCTAACAAAAAATTTAAAACACTTAATTTATCCAGCCAAAAACAGCATAAAATACAGTATAAAACGTGAATAACAATAAATTCAGAATTCAAAAATCAATTTAGGGGGGAAATCCAGCCAATAAACATTAGATGATCACCAGGGCTAGCTGGCTAAATTAGTCCTATTTGGGCCAGAGAGGAGACCAGGGGAGAATTAGCTGTGGGATCCCAGAGCGGGTAATCTTCATAAAAAGGGGAGGGGAGGGGAGGAAGGGGAATAAAAGACCAGGCTAAATTCAAATTGAAAGCCAGGCAGAATAGCTCAGTCTTACAGGCCCTGCGGAAGGAAGTTAAATCCTGCAGGGCCCTGGTCTCATGGGACAGAGCATTCCACCAGGTCAGAGCCATCACTGAGAAGGCCCTGGTCCTGGTGGAGTTTAATCTGACTTACGTAGGGCAAGGGACCTCTAAACTATGATTATTCATAGTTTAAACTGTTTTTATATCTCTGTAAGGTGCCTTGAGACATACATGCAAGAAGCAATTCATAATGTATAATGATGACAGTAACTATGT